TGTCCAACTCTCCCATGCATAGCACGTAATTGTGAAGACTATAGCCTGGATCAGGTACACCTTAGTCTCCAGCCTGATGTCATTGCTCTTCAGTACTCTTGAGAGGTCCCTCACAGCTGACGTTCCCAGTGCAATTTGTCTCTTGATTTCCTGGCTGCTGTTACCAAGAGTGTTGACTGTGGAACCAAGCAAACTAAAACTGTTGACTCTCTCAATCTCTTCACCATACATACTGATACTGCCAATTGGCCCAGTGGTGAAAATCTTTGTTTTCCTGATGTTGAGCCTCAATCCATATTGGAGGCTGCAGTCCTTGACCTTCTGCAGCAAAAACTTCAGGTCCTCCTCAGTTTCAGCAAGTGGGGTTGTGTCATAGACATACTTTTCTATAACTTTATTTTGACCTTAACATAAGTACCTCCTTGTTATTATCAAGATTTATTTTCTTGGTTCTTTTAAAACTTTAGGTGAATTTTAGAATAATATAAAATTCCATGAAAATCCCATTGTTATGTTGAACAGTATTAAATTTATTAGGATTGAATTAATTTTTTTATAAGATTAAGAGATGCCTTCGTTCATTTGCTTTTATGTGCCTCAGTGGAACCCTTATAATGTTCTTCACATAAGTCTTGTATGTTCTTATAATTTCTTATTAATAGGTTTTGTACCACTTGTGAGTTGTATCTGTTAAACTCTTTTATTGTTAATTTGCATAGAAAGCATAATTTCTAAATCGTGAATTAATTTCATTTAATCACTATCCTTGTTACCTGAAGCTCCCTGTGTGCATTTTCATCACTGTGTCCCTTTTTCTCCTTTCTGTCTCCTAAAGCCATCAAATTAAGGAAAATACAATAGCTTACACAACTTTCAGTTAATGGAGGGAAACATAATAGTTAAGTTAGACTTTTTTGTTTGTTTTGTTCCAAAGACAAAATTCTTGAGAGTGATTCAATAAATAGGCCTTTATGTGTAAGGAATACTCGTTCATTTCTTTTCTGAGGCTATAAATTGCATGGGAGGAGATTGACAGTCTTTCTCTTAGAATTACTGGTGCATTTAAACCTCTGGTGAGATGCTGCATTGAGGTTAACCAAGTAACTCCCTACGGACTATGCCAGCAGAGCATAAGGATAAGAGGGCAGTTTAATTGACAGTGTTTTTAAGACTTGCTTTTTCAAACATGCAGTTCCATTTTTCATATATTGTTCCTTATTAAGTCCAGCCAGCCTTGTACTAAAGCAGGAATTATAACATTAAATAAGAAGGAACTTTGCTAAGAATTTTTTGTTTAGCTGTAAAAATTATAGGTTGTCAAAAATAACACAGGTCTTTAAACCTTAACTTTGAAATTATAGAATTCCGCTCAAACTTAGCTTTATTAATTGATATAAGAACCATTACAATGTACATATTTTTGCCAACAAGATGTAAGCCTATTTATTCCAGTAGTGTAAAATTCAAGCATTCAACTACACATTGGTCAGTGATGAGTTTTCCTTGCAAAAACTTGTGAGGTGCTTGAAGAAGTGGTGGTTGGTGAGAGGTGTCTGCTGGATGAAGTAGAGTTTCAGAGCTCAAGTCACTGAGCATTTGGAGCATTGGTTATGCGAGGTATAGTTGAGTACTGGATTATACCTTTTCTATTGACCAATGTCAAAAGCAGATTTCATTGCAGTAATCCTCTGCAGGAACAGGTTCATCTGGATTCAAGTCATACTAGGTACTGAGTGGGCCAGTCCAGCTGCAGACCACCAAAGAGCCACCATGTCCTTTTTTTGTGTAAGCTCAATTTGGGGCAGTGTTCCAGTGCTTCACCTGCATCTTACTGCTTCTGAATATCATCTGTTGTCATGGAGAATCTGTATCTCACCACACATTACAGTACAGTCTCACTGGATCATTTGTGTGTGTGCATGTGTGCAAAAGGTGTGCTGAGCAAACGTCAAAGCAACAAATGCTTTTTAGTTCAGGTCATGTGGTACTCCTTTCCAAATGAGTGACTGGAATGGCAGAGGAAGTTCTTCCACTAGTTCTTGTGTAGTTTTGAGAGGATTAACTGTGATTATTGTTCTCACCTGGTCTTGTCAACATCTGATGGCTGATGACTTTCCTTATATTTGAGTTCAAATTGTTAAAACCAGGGTTGCACTGTGCATTCATTGTCCTTTCTCTTGCCTCATATTTGTTGATGTTTCAAGCTGTTTGTACTGGACTGAAGCCAAGTTTGGATTTGTAGATTTGGTGAAAAATCTTGTTTTGACATTCTATGTTCTGTGTCCCAAAAATGGAAAAAAATGCAATTTGTATTTAAAACCAACTGCATAGAAGAATAATTTTTAATATAGGACTTAATATTTTGCTGTTGTTGTCACGAAGGGCTGTCAAGTTGAGCATGACTCATAGCAACCCTATGAACAAAAAACCTGAACCCTGTTCTATCTATCTTTATTTCTCTATGCTCAGAGAGTTTCCAGAGGTATAAGATTTATCATTAGATGATGCTGTAAATATCAAGGAACTGAAATCCTGAACTATTTTTACATTAACCTTAAAGTTTCCTAAGAGTGAACTGTGATGATCTAGTGGGTAGAGAGTTTTGCCCAAAGGTGGATAGTTGGAATCCACCAGCTGCCCTGAGGGAGGAATATAGGCAATCTCCTTCCCTAAAGGTTGTTGTTGTTATTGTTGTGGTTGTTATGTACCATTAAGTTGCCTCTGACCTGTAGCAACCCTATGTGCAGCACCTCTGGAGCCTGCCGTGCCCTAAGCCACTCTCACTACAACACACCTACCCCTATTGCTCAGATTACTGTATCAATCCTTCTCATCCAGGGTCTTCCTCTCCTGCACTGTTCCCCCACTCTTCCAAGCATGATATCCTTCTCCAAGGATTGGTCCCTCCTGGCACAGCCTCTGGAAATTTACTGGTTGGCCAGCTATGATTGGGTTCTGAATCAAGTTGAAATTCTAAGATAGTCTAGTTTAATATAGAAGTTGAAAACCATTGTTCTAGTGACTATACCAATGGACTCAAGTGTGTTGGAGATAGTGAGGATGGCGCAGGACAGGGCCCTGGGGACACTCTATTTAAATAAATAGGATAAAAGGCTGTGATGACATTAAGGGATGTTGCAATGCACTCTTTCTCCCTTTACAGTTATTTGATTTAGGGTCATTGATTAAAGGGTCTTTACATAGCTTCCATTTTATGTTATTATTTGCACATATTCTGGCATTAATCTATG